GGCCTCACCTTGGAAAGGTATGATATGCTTCGGGAAAAGGGGGAGTTGGGTCCCCGATATATTGGTCCTTTTCGAGTGATTGCCAGGGTTGGCAAGGTTGTTTACAGGTTGGAGCTACCTGAGGAGCTCAGTCAGATCCACAACACTTTCCATGTTTCGCAGCTGCGGAAGTGTCTATTGGATGATGATGCGGTGGTTTCCTTGGAAAATATTCAGGTTGATGAGTGCATGAACTATGTTGAGAAGCCAGTGGCTATTTTGGAAAGAAATATGAAGGTCTTGCACAATAAGGAGATACCTTTGGTAAAGGTATGGTGGCAGCATCGAAGAGGCTCCGAGTGGACCTGGGACCTGGAGGCAGAGATGCGGGAGCATTATCCTGAGTTATTCATCGCGGCAGACTTCGAGGACGAACTCTAGATCAAGTGGGGCAGAATTGTAATATCCCGATGTTAAGGTACTTCAAATTTCAACCCTTTAATTTATTTATATTGCAATTGCTCCCAAAGTTCAAGAATTATATGCAAAAAAGGGCCTTAATGGCATTTTTGGTAATTAAGCTTCGGAGTACGCCATGCGTACATGGTGTACGCTGGGCGTACATCGTTATACGTTGGGCATACTTGCTAAATGAGGAAACCCTAATTTTTAGGGTTTGCTGGTATTTAAGCACCCTTATGGCCTCATTTCCCTTTACCTTCTTAGCCTCCACCCTCTCATTCGTGTTTGAAGCCCTAGTCCTCCTTGTGAAGCCATTTCTATCCTAAAAGTGTGTGTTTGTGTGCTTAGAAGAAGAAGGAAGGAAGTCAAGATCATCTTTGGAGAGTGAAGCACTTTGGATCTGGGATTTACTCTTCATTTGCAACCCTTTAAAAGTATAAAGCTTGCATCTTGATCTTTTAATCTTGTAGATCTAGAAATGGGTGTTTTAGTGATACTTTTTGGTCCCAATTGACTTATCTTGAGCATGGTATGTTCTTCACGATTTGAGTTGTCCTTTCAGACCCTAGGAGGGGTCCTAAGCCATAAAAATGAAGTCACAGTGGTTAGTTTTGCTCCATGCATCTTGTAGAAGGTCTTAATGGATTAAGACCTTGACTTAAGCACTTAATGGGCATGTAAAGTCATAAAGTTGGAAAATTTATGACTCTAGAGCAATGTTTTAAAAACCGGTTTGAACCGGCCGGTTGGACCGGGAATCGGGGAAGGGAGTGGTTCAACTATTACCGGTTTTATGTCGATTTCTGAACCAAATTGAACCGAACGGTTTTTAGAAAAACTCCGGTTGAAACGGTCAAAATATACCGGTTTTGAACCGGTTAAACCAAATAAAAACACATGAAAAGGAACCATTTGCATAATAAATTTTGGTGGATTTTTTCAAATCTATGTAGTTTTCTCTAAATAAAAATATATGATAAATGTTATAAAGTTTGTAATGTATTTGGAGTGATCTATAACTTTTTTGTATGTATATTTTTAATGTTTGAACTTATAAACGTAAAATTTATGATTTATATATGTATGTATATATAGGAAAATAGGAAAAAAAATATGAAAATTATAGAAACCGGTTGAACCGGAAACCGATCACTATACCGGTTCAACTAAAAAACCGGTTTTTAAAACATTGCTCTAGAGTGTATTTGAGCCTTGGATCTGAAATATGGACTTAAGTGCTTAAGCCATTAAGCACTTATTGAATTTTGAAGGATGCGAGGGTACGCCCCCGTGTACTCGGAGTACGCCCCGCGTACTCGGTCAACCACCCCGATGGTGGTCAACTACGAGGGTTGGAGTACGCTCAGCGTACCTCCAGAGTACGCACCACGTACTCGCACTGGGTCAGCTCGGTTGGGTTGACTCGGTTGGGTTCACTCAGTTGACTTAGTGGGTTTGACCAATTGACTTTGACCAAGTTTGACCATTGAGGGTATTTTGGGTATTTTGGGTATTTTGGGATTTTAATGGAATTGATCTTTGGTGGGATTAGGTGCCGGTTAGAGAGCTGGGTTTCAGAGTCAGGGACCTCATCAACTTTTTTTCAGTTTATGAGGTGAGTTTTCCTCATTGTACTTTTGGGGTCGAAGGCACCAAGGCCGGCCCATTGGATTGTTATCTTGGTTCATCATCGTATGCTATAGTGATCTGTTAGATATGTATCCTGGTATATAAGATGATATTATACTTAGTGATCTGTAAGATCTATTCGATTGTCTATTGGCTGATTATATGTATGCTTATCTGTCATGTATGTGTCGACATGGTTTATGTGTGGTTGGGTTGAGGCGTACCAGTGTAGACTCAAGGCCAAGAGACCCAGGGCGTCCGGGATAGACTGCAGGCCCGAGAGGCGTACCAGTCAGGCCGAAGGCCCGGATAACGTTCCAGATAGGCTGAAGGTCCAGTGAGGTGTACCAGTCATGCTGAAAGTTCTGTTAGCGTACCAGATCGACTGTAGGCCGGTGGGGCGTTCCAGTCAGGCTGAAGGCTCTGTATGCATGTTGTATGTATTATGCTTATGTTATGTGTTGGTATTTTGGGGGAACTCACTAAGCGTTGGCTTACAGTTTTCGGTTATGTTTCATGTACTTCGGATGATCGCAGGAAGGCGAAGGGGTGACCGTATACATCATCATGTGTTTTACTTATGATTTTGGGAGACTCTGATGTTGAACATGTTTTGAAAACTATGTTTGTAAACAATTTGTGAAATTGGTTGGTTTTAAAAAGTTTAAATTGATCAATGATTTTATGAGTGTTACACGCTCAAACCAAAATAAGAGACAAGAGTATTCATAGTATCACAACCTATAGAATTAGCAATCTCCTCAACCACCATATTAGAAACACCAATACGTAGAAGCTTACTTTAGGGAAGATTGATTTTAATCCTGAAGTGAGATGAAAACAATGTAGAATTCGAATTAGATTGTCAAAGTTTGAATTCTTCTACTCCCTAATAAATATCCAAAAAAAAACCCTCATTCTTTGTAGCCTTATGCAAAACAACATGAAGAGTCTTCATGACCAAAATAATAAAAATTAATAATAAGAAAAAGGAGGAAAACGGGTCACCTTGAAGTAACAATCTATGAAACTGAATTCTTCTATAGGAAACACTCATGTATGATTGTTTGATCATCATTGATGGACCAAAGAACCGGAATGAGGGATGGCGTGATGAAAAAAAAGTTCCTGTGTATGGACTACCTACACAAAACCAATGTTTGGGGGTACTAACAGTGGCTTCAACAAATGTAAAAAGACCTTTTATGTAACATACTCAAAAGTGTCTTTGGATTTTGGGTAAAGTGACAAATTCTTTTTCTTTTTTCCCCTTCTCCAATTTAGAAACTATAAAAGCTAAATGGCCGAAAAAAGTAAGTAACCAATAATTATATAGCATTAGCATATTAGTAAATGATTGGTTGTGGTTAGCATGAAAACTCATTTGCTTACGTCACATTCCTTTACATGATAGCTCCTATTTCCCATGATACATCCCCCACCCCTAGAAGTCAGAAATGCAAAGCATTACATTTTCAGGATAATCTTCTTTATTTTCTAAGAGAATAGGAAATTTGGCACCCTTTCTTTTCGTTTCTTTTTTGTGACAAATTCTAACCAAAGATTAGCTATCTTTTATTGTTTTCCATTCAAACATAAAACAAAATAGAAGATACTATTTTCTACTACAAGATTCTAAGTGATACATTCGTGCCAAAAAAATAATTTGGTGATTACCAGTTGTTTTTGTTGTCCACGTCTTGGATTTCATTTAAGTGAGTCATTTTTTCTCCTATGAAGACTTGACTATCTACTTCTACCTTCTTTCCACCTCATTTTAATGAGATTTTTGGATCTCTTGTTGTTGCTATGTCTATCTACAATTACAATATTCTTGGTTTCATCCTCATTAAAAAGTATTTGTGACATTTCTTCTTATCAAATACTTCCAAAGCTTATATAGATTCTATACCATACCAAATTACCAATTACCAATGAATGATATATTGCTAACTAAAGTGATTGTGGCCATTCTTCATCATCCAAGTGTTCAACTCACATTTGACCATATATAATTGACTTAGTTTCTCTACATTTGACCATATCAAGTAGGTATTTGACATGATGTAAAGAGAAAAAGTGTGCATGCAAAGACAACTAATATCAATAATTAATTTGAATGATCAATGGACAAAGTCAATGGCACCGGCCAATAATAGGAAAAAGCCAACCCAAAACCATTTACCAACATTTCTAATTAGGAAAAAAGGCAACTAACCTGTTTCAAATGGGTTTTAATACACGTATCACCTTATCTATAAACCGGCCTTTCGAGGTCTTAAATTTTAAGCTAATGATGTTCTCCATTTCTAAATGATAAACTTAATTATGGGGCATTTGGTTCACACAAGGATTACAATATATTACATTACATACATGTTTGGTTAGGAAGAAATGAATTTCACTAATTCAGTTCCATTAATTTGTTGTTTGAGTTTGGTTCACAAAATTTCTCAAAAGAATTCGATTGGAATAAGAGTTATGTTAAATGACTAGTACACCCTTTATTGATTCTTCTATAGCTTGTTTTTCTAGTTTAAAAACAAATGATAGAATTACCGTTTACTAAAAAAAATTATGAAGCTTACTTTTAGACTAAGTATATGAACATCAAACCTACGTACCCTAATTATACAAACACCAAATAAATAATATGACAACAAATATTATATGATTCTATGATAATAGAATTAATATTTAATATCGATATCCAACAACATAATGTTATACATTTGTCAGATAAACTAAGATGTGGTATTCAAAAGATTTTTGCAAGATTCAAGAAATACATATATTTGTTAAGGATACATGAAAAAGAAAAATTGCAAATGGAACTTCATGAATGATAAAATCCTTAGAATATATATTAGATTCTGAAGGAATCCAATTCCAATTCCTTCAAATTCCTTTGAAATTCATAAACAAAACACGCCCTTATCTTTTACCAATTCTTTATTAATTTTTCCCACAAAATATATTTACTATAAAAGTCAACAGTAAGTGGTATTTATCAAAAAAAAAAAGAATAATGAAAATAATTACATAACGTATTATCTAATCAGGCAAGAGTGGCAATCTGTCCACTGGGTAGGGGGAGCCATTTGTGTTTGACAAGTCAAACTCACTGATTTCATCATCATCATCATCATCAGTCCTTTCAGGATTTGTATCTTGTTTTTTAGCTTGAAAAGGTAAGATACGAATTCTTACATCTGTTGTTGTCTCAGAGCCAATTTGTTGTGATTGTAGTTTGTATTTACGAATAAGATCTTTTTGAAGTAACATTATATTAGATGATCTAGGAAGTAATTCCACAGATTCCCCTTTCGGGATTACAACTTGTTCAATTGCAATCCTTGCCTCCTATAAAATAATAATAATAATCATAAAAATCTAAGTTGAATAAGTTAGGGTTACTCGATAAATGTGAAGAGAAAGAAGAAATACCTCCAAAGCATCAGTCTTCTCTGATTCATTAATCGGAGACTCATCTTCAATATCTTCAAATTCATTATCATAATCACTCACTAATGCTTCTATAGCCTTCGTTAACTGCATCAATGCACTTGTCTACAAACACAAATTTATCAATAAACCAATCAAGAAAAATCTATTCGTAATTTAAAAAAAAAATTATAATAATACTTACTTTGGTGACATAAATAGGTACGTCACTAGAGTGAGCAGCAGCTTGAATCCGAGAATTTTTCTTGATTTTTGAAAGTAATGCAATTATTGCATCAGCTTCACTAATATTTTCAGTAAAATCCACAGCAGATTCCATCTTTAAGTGTTTAAAAACTTGCATCACACTTGTTTCTGAAACCTACAATATCTACCCACAATATAAACCATATGTATTTAAACCTAAAGAAAATAGAATTAGTTACTAATATCATACCCCATACAGAAATAAACACAAGGGTGGTTTATGTGTATCATAAGACTTGTCTTTTTCGCTTTGAGACTCTTTGGATATGTGTTTGTCAGGGGTAAGATGGTCATTTGTCATTTCAATTGTAGCGACACTCTTCTTGACAAATGAATCGGGAACAATTTGATCACTTTGTAAAGTAGCATCCAAAACTCCGTCGTTTAACTTGCAAATTTGATATTTTGGGGAACGACCTTTCGTAACATAAAACAAATAAAAAATTAACAAAAATACTAAATGACTATTTTACCCTTACTTCCAAAGGGAGAAGAACAAACCAGAGAGAATAGCATCGACTGTAGCTTCAAGACTAGTATGAACTCTCAATTCAACCCTAGAAATGATCTCAACAGCACAATCAAAAGTAGAAGGACCTTTTCTTTCCAAAACTGATTTCTGAACACCTCTTCGATTTGCTTCATCATCTCCAAGAGTCACGCTCTGAATTCCTCCAACAAGCATTTCTAAAGAAGGATTCATGACTAAATTCTCTATTGTAATTCCATGAGCAGTTGCAACTAACTGAATCCCACGTTGTGCAATAGTACTTGCAGCTGCTGCTTCAAGTTTTGTCCCAATTTCATCGATTACAATCACTTGAGGCATGTGATTTTCAACTGCTTCGATTAACACCTTATGTTGCATATCAGAATCAGGAACTTGCATCCTTCGAGCATTACCTATACCTGCATGAGGTATATCACCATCTCCACCGATTTCATTTGAGGTGTCGACAATCATGACGCGTTTTTTGTATTCATTTGCAAGCATTCGAGCGACATCCCTGTAATAGAAAGAATTAAACAAAAGAAAGGAGGAGACTGTAAGCGTATGAAATAACAAACCTGATAATTGTAGTTTTTCCAACTCCTGGAGGTCCGATAAGGAGTAAAGAAGCTCCATCTTTAACTAGATCTTGAAGTAATTTGGCACTTCCTGATATAGCTCGACCAACACGACAGGTTAGCCCGATAATTGCACCTTTGCGGTTTCTAATGGCACTAATTCGGTGCAATGTTCTGCTAATGCCAGCTCGATTATCAATGGCGAAATCGCCTACCTATCAGGGGTGAGAAAGATATAGCCATAAATTACCAACGAAAAGCAAAAGATCGAACACTTGGTGGACAAGAAGCTTAGAATCATGTTTACCAATGAAGTAGCGTGTTCGAGATCATCCACTGTGATCAAATGTTCTGATAAGACAAAATCCCCAGAAGGAAATCGAGCCAGGGGTTTCCGACCCAAATCCATAACGACCTCGATCAATTGGTGAAGTTCTTGATGTTCGTTAACTCTCCGCCGCATCTCCTCCGGCAACAGCCTCAACAGGCGTCCCAATTCCATATCGAACTCTTCTTCGCTCGAACTGAAAACCCCCGTATCAGAATTCGAACAAGGACAAGGACGATGACTATATCCATTACTCCTGTGATTAATTTTGTTCAAATCTTTACGACGATGATGAAAATGAACAAAACGGGTTGTTGGCAAGAATCTTAACAGTTTGGCTTGCGATCTAAGTGGGATTTTCGGGTGAGGAGAGATAGAACGGAGAGGTACACAGAGCATATTCGGATTTTGGCGGCAAAATCGGTGTGTGTTCTTGTGCTCTATTTTGCTTGGTCGAATGAAGTTCTGATATCTAATATCTTCCTGCGGAAGTTACTTATTGTCCCCTTAAGTTTTCATTTTGTTCTTTTTTATAACCAATCTTTTATTTAGAGGGTGTTTGGTTGATAAGTTGATTAGTCACGTGGGCTTTATTTATGAATTTTGATTTATTAACCGTATAACATGGTATAAGTTATTTCTATAGAAACAATTTTTTTAGCTTATACCAATATGAAACCGATATAACCTTAAATAAACTTAACCAAAGACCCCTTAGAGCAACTCCAATGGACCACTAAAATGGTGCAAAGCCTCTAAAAACCACTACAATGGAACTTTAAAATCATCACCATTTTTGTGAAGCCTCTTAGTGGCCTATGAATTTGGCGTGGCTATCTCCAAACATCAAATGTACTTTTTCAATTTAACTCTATTATTTTATTATATATACTATTTTTAACACCATTATAATTATTATTTTATTCTATATATTATTATTAATGTAAAATTTTAGTATATGGTTTGAGTGAAAACTGCATTTTAGTGTTACAAAGTCACCATTTTAGTGTTTTTTAGTGTTTTGTGGTTGAAGTTGGTCTTACTACACATAAAGCCCTAATATTTGTAAAAACACCACACTTAAGATTATATAAAAAAGGTTTAGAACCCCTTTTTAAACATTTAAATTAAATTGTCATTATATTAGTTTTAAACAAACGCTAGGTTTCAAAATTGTGTTTTTTAATTTGGTAATTACTATAGCATTGTGTATGTCTATACTAACAATTACTAGCCTTAGCAATGGGTGAACATCAACACATCCTACCGGCTATTGTAAGCTATTGTAATCAGGACAGTTTTTGTTTCTAATGTTTGCAACTGATTACCAGCTATAGCTATTGTGAATGGGATCGTTCTAATTGCTAATGCTTGTAGCTGAATACCAACTATTATGATTGGGACAGTTCTTATTCCTAATATTTGTAACTGAATTCGATTTTGGTTCTTATTTTTTGGAACAATTAAACATTAGGTATCGGTACTCGTGTGTATTCTTAGTCGTCTATTGTATAGCATAACATGATGTTTCTAGGGTTATGGTACACATAACTATATTATCCACGACTAATCCAAATATATATTTATTTTCAAATGTTTTGCATAAATTTCATTTACCCTCCGCTTCAGAGTCTAATTTAACGACATATTAGAAAGGAAGTGAGAAGATTAAGAAATGATCATTGTTTTTGAGTTTATTTATTTGTAGAAGATGAGAGAAAGGGAAAAGAAGATCCATGCAAATCTTCCCTACAAATTGTCCTACCAAATCACGAGGAATTTGAAAGAAAGAAAAGAAAAATACATCCTTTTTTTTTCTTTTCACATTTTTCTTCTCTTTTTTTCTTTTCTTTAAAGACATGTTGTTCACCTTTGTGTTCTATGCATAATGCAACATTATTAAATCTCTCATCCTTTTTTTAACGGTAATCTAACCAACTCTTTATTTCACCTCTTAATTTCACCTATGTCTCAAAAAAAAGGACAACACCTTATACTGCTAGACTAGAAACCCTTGGTATTAAATATCCCATCCAAGGATTAGACAAGTCTAGTGTTGAGTGTTTATTTTTACTAGTATCCCACATAAATTGAGGAAATACATGAAGTGAAGTGAATGGAGGAGGCGTATATAAGGAAGATGACCTGTAAATTGTAGTTATTTTTGTATCACATCCCACATGTGAATGGTGGATTCTAGATTCGACAATGGTGTTTTTATGAGTTTCTCATCTTAAGGTGCTAATCCGATTTACATAGAGTTGACAATCCTATAAGGGTGGGAATTTAAGTTGTTGATTATATAACAAATATATAGATATATATGGTTGATACAAACTGCTCTTTGAAACAAAACCACTAGCCATTTAGAGAGACACTTAGCGCAAAAAAAAAAAAAGTTATTTCGGTTAATTTTTATTTCAGGGAACATATTTTCAAAATCAACTTAATTAAATAAAGAAAAAAACTATACATTAATAATCACACGAAATAAAAATTTTAAAAAACAAATATACTCTTGCTCTCACTCATGAAAGAAAATACGTATCCGCAACATTTCAAGTAGTAGTAGTACCATGTGCTGCTTTGATTGTACCTTTTCCATTACACATTTGTGGTTTAACCGAAACAATTATCTTGGGTGCACCATGTCTCATTGTTTTACCCGACGGCTTGTTTTGTTGCCTAGCCCGTGCAACCACCCGAGCCTCCCATGGGCACACCGCAATCCACCGCTCTTTCCAGCTCCATCCCCAACTCTCCTTGCTTAAGTCAAAGTAAGCTTGACCAAAATATCTATTCGAATTCGCCCTCCACTTCAAAAAAAAAAAGTAAATACATAAATAAAACCTATTAGTACTTTTTAATAATTTAAAAACGCAATACACAATTTAATAATACACATAAGTGACATATATTATAATAATAGTAATCTAATAAAAACACAAAATAACATACTTGGTGATAGAAAGCATAGGCCATAGCACGTTCCCGTTTATTAGTAGCTTCTTCACGTTGTTGTATCCTAGATACAATCTCATCCATTGTCTCGGGCCCACCACACCACTCGACCTCAAGTTCATGAAGCTTTGAATCAATTTTGACTTGATTTTCAAGTTTTTTTTGCTTTATTCTTCCTTCTGCCACCATCCAATGGCGTCGGGTTCTAATTTCTGATTGTATTTTACTCCAAAAATGTATTTTGTCAAGAGCAGAAAAAGATTGCTTTGTTAGAGCAATAGGTTCAACCAATGAACGGAATCTTGATGTTCCTTTTAAGCAACGTAAAGCTTTTCTTGCCTGTTTTTGTTTCAAAAACTGGAATTTTTAGAACATGAAAATATATAATATTATTAGTATAAAAATGTATGAGAATTTATATTTATATTTATATTGTACCCGATGTGCCCGATATGCTGTTTGGATTCGAGTTGCAGCAAATTCTTTTGTTCCTGTGCTTCGACCAATAACCCGAAAAGAATCCCGGTTCTTTAAGCTATTTGTGATTTTCGTATCCTGTTTTGACTTTTTAAGGTCAAACATACGATGTTCAACTTCAAAATGCTTATGAAATCTTCTAAAATTTATGGTAAATTGGATAAAAGTTCTTAAATTAGTGATGATTTTTTTAAGTTAGATATAGAAATATTGATGTAAATTGTGTTAATTTTTAATCTAAGGAGTGTTTAGTTTGACCTTCAAAGTCAAAGAGGGAATTATAATTTACAATTACCTCTGTTTTCTTGGGTCTGGTTTCTTTCTTTCTTTTCATGCCGATTAATCTCTTGAACCACCCGCAAACACCCATTTATATCAAACACCTGGCAGAAAAGCATTTAAAACGATATTGGGCATAAAGATAATTCTTTCTATGAAATGCTAAATCAATTAACAATCATGTTGCTTGATCGACAATGATTTTATGATCAAAACCTCACAATTCGCAAAAAGTAATCAATTGTATTAACAAAAGAGACATAATACGACGAGGGTTTTGAGTACGAACAAATCAAATATAGAAACAGTGACGAAGATCATGATGAAGCAATTAAGAACAGATAATACGAAGAGGGTTTGGTTTTGCATACTAACCAGAGTCGAGGAACAAGAAGCTGAAGAGGGTATGGAAAAAGCATATGCGCAGAAAGGGTAATTGTAGAGGTAGCAAGAAAAGAATCCAGGAGAGAGGTATCGTGGGCCATGGCAATGGCGGATTTGTTGATAATATTGATAGGGATGAATGGGGTTTGTTTAGGTGAGAGGCAGCTTTAGGAGATGACACACCAACAAGATTACAGATGGAAGGGTTTCATCTTCAAACCCGGAATTATACGTTCAAACTTACATTAGAAAATGAAACCCTAACTGCTTCTCTCAAGCGCAAAAATGGTGAAAGTAAAACGAGGTAACGACGTCGTAACGGTAGACTAACAAAAAATAAAAGATAGCGACCAGTTATGGTCCCGGCGGGGCTCGAACCCGCGACCTTCGGCTCATAAGACCAACGCTCTAACCAACTGAGCTACGGGACCTTTGTGCTTATTCATTGGAGTTTACCAATTTAACAATTATTATTTTCTTTTTTAGCGTACATAAAATAGTAAAAGTATTATAGTATCTAAGTTAAATGTTAAAATAGAAAAACGTTGTATGTATTGATAAATTAAGACGAAAAGTGTGTTCCCTTATTTTCTTTAGAAGAAGTAAATGATAGTTACATTTACATATTTTTATATCTTTAGCGATGTCTAATACTATAAAGTAAAGAACATGTGATAAATGATTGTTAATTATCTTAATTTTAATATTTATTATTTATACTAGATACTTTGAATTGGAAAAATAAATCAAATTATTGATATAATTATGAATATATTGTCCGAACATATAATCGTAGAATAAAAAAAACAAAGCATGATGATGATCTTGTTTCTTCCAATTCTATTGATTAAAGTTTTGTAAAGTATCTTATTGATTAAAGTTTTGTAAAGTATCTCATTAACTGTGATACGCAATTTGAAAAAAGTAAGACCATCCGTTATAGGGATAATGACTTAGGAGGGTAATAACGTTTCTCGTTTGTCCATATTAGGTACCTAACATATCTTTTGTGTGTATTACACCATTAAGGTTGTTATAACCGTTTAGAAATAATCCATTTTACCGGTTTCTTCCTGTTAAAATGACTATTTGTAAACGGTTATAATAACATTAATGGTGTAATACGCACAAAAAATACGTAGGGACCTAAAATGGACAAACAGGAAATGTTATTACCCTCCTAAGATTTTTAGTATTTATTATTTTGAATATATATTTTTAAGATTTTTAGTATTTATTTTTATATGTGTATTTCATATAAAGTTGTTGAAATTAAAAAAAAAAAAAAAGTAGAAAGGTTAGAATTGGATTGGATTGGATTTTGTAACCACATCACCATGAACACCGACTCAACAATCGGGCGTTCCAT